ATCAAACTTTGAAGATCTTCCCCTTGTGATGTTAAATGGAAAACAGGTAGAGAAGATGCATTAACTTGCGTGAATCAGGGAAAACGAAAACAAACTCAATTATAAAGTGAAATCTTTTCCTTTCTTCTCCTCCGTCTATCTGACGCCACACTGTGTTTTGGGAAGAGAAAGATAGCAGTAGAAGAAGAAACGTACAGCATTGCAATCCAAAATGTAGAATGTAGAATGCAAATGCAATGGCCTTTGCCTCCAACTCCGCCTTTCAAACATAACCACCGCCTACGAACCAAAATTGGATGTTCATTGTGGGGTTGCTATTTTTTTTAACCTTTAATTTCCCGCCACCCTCTCCAAATGCATTAATTTTACATTCAATACAAGTGTTATATTTTTAAGGTTTAATTATAAAATAAGTACGCAAACTATAATGTTTTTCACGATTACGGGTTTAAACTTTTTTTAAAATGATCCCGGTATTTAACGTTATAAACATTACCAAGTTAGGTGTATGGGCCGTTAATGGCATTGATTTCCTTCGTTAAGTGACATGTTTCACAATCTATTAATTGTAAAAAAATATATATATTTAAAATTTAAAAATTAAAATTATATTTAAGAAAACACATAGAAATTTCAAAATAACCCAAAAACTTTGAAAACATCTATTTCAACACCTAAACCCACGTCGGTCATCTCCCTTTGTCACCAAAGAAGCCCCACCCAACCTCCCATCCCCCCGGTGACCAAAACCCCTATGAAATCGTGATTGGTCGACAGTCAATCAATGACGAATCAACGTTTTATACCCCATAAACCCTAGGATAAAATCGCGATCCCACACGATTTCGACGGACAATCAACGTCAACTATGATAGCGTATGACTAAGAGGATGAGAAAGGTTACGTCGGCAATGGTGATCATGGCCGGAAAGGACAACGGGTTAGGGTTAAGATTTGGGGATTTTAGAGATTTTGGGGCTTTAGAGATTTTGGGGCTTTTTGTAATTTAAGAGAAATTAGGTTTTTAATATCATAATATATTTAATATATTTTTTAAAAAAATAAAATTATCATATTGTGACACGTGTCACTTAACGGAGGAAATCAATATCATTGACATCCTGGGCACCTAAAGTGGTAATGTTTGTAATGTTAGACACTGTAATCATTCAAAAAAATAGTTTAGACACCTATTCGTGAAAAGCATTATAGTTTGGACACTTATTTTATATTTAAGCCTATTTTATTCAAAATATGAAATATGTCAAATTACAATGAAGATTTACAATCCTAATTGTAAAGGAAACATATAATTAGGAGAATTTCACATAATCATTGAAATAAAACTAGCAACTTAAGATCACGTAAGGATAATACAAGGAAAGATTAAAACCTAACCAAGAGACTCGAATAAATATATATACAAATAGATCTAATCGCATCGGAAAACAAACCAAAAAAGGAAATCAAACTACTGAAAGACCACTGACAAATTGCAAATCAAACTCAAGCGACGTGAAAAGCTATCCACGAACGCATAACGGGTATATGAGGGTCCAAAACAATAAATATCAACTATATAACATATAAGAGTTATCATGATTAATCATTGTGATGTCAAATCAACCCACAAAAAAAAGATAAGTGAAAACGATCAAATGATCGAAAAACATGACAAAAGATTTCTATAAAAAAAATTAAATTTTTATATAATTTAGACATATTTTGTATTTTTAATTAATAATCTATTCTTCCCTCCTAAAATTTTATAAATTCATTTATCTTATAAAATCATTTATCTTATAAATTCATTTATCTTATAAATTCATTTATCTTATAAATTCATTTATCTTATAAATTCATCCCTCTAACATAAAATTATATGTTTGTCTTGTCTTAGTACCTTCGTTAAGGGGCTCAATACCTTGAAAACGCAACAAAGTGGCAAACTACTTATCAAAAATTTCGGTAGATGTGATCGTATCTAGTGTCTCAATAATTTAATTCTTTTAGACCTTTAGGGGGGCTTCTTATTTGTAAAAATAAAATTTAAGGATTACATTTTAAAATTTATCATAATAGAGAGATCAAAGCTCAATTTGACCTTTCTTTTTTAATATATAAATAAGATTACTAAATCTCATCAGGCAACTCTTAATCCTAAGCCACAAATATTAACGGTCTTTCTTCATTTACACTTAAAAAAGATAACAACGCCCAAAGTTCAGTTAAAATATTAATTTAATTAATTAAATACCTAATTGAAAGAAGAAAAACTTATTAGGCTCAATTATTAATTAATTTAACTAATTAAGGATGTAGCTCAAAGAAGCTAAACTTATTAGGATCGATTATTAATCAATATAGCTAATTAAGAACCTAATTCTAGATAACTAAACTTATTAGGTTCAATTATTAATTAATATAATTAAATAAGGAAAAAATTGAGAGAGACTTAACTTATTAGAACTAAATAACAAAGAAATAATGCAAAAAAGGGATCTAAATTGAATGACATGCGAGAGTGATGGACTAAACATACAAAAAGACTCTTCAACAAATTAAATTAAAAATAATTATAAAAATTATAAAAAGTCAATAAAGGATAATTTTAATAGTACGGAAGTAATATTATTTTGTCGTCGCTATTTTTTTAAAGATTTTTTAATTAGATAAATAGTTTGCAGGATTTTTAAATATTATGAATGATGTTAATATAATATTTTTACGAGATATTTTTTATTGGAAATATTAATATAATAGGTAAATGATTAGAAGGATTTTTAGATATTATGAATGATGTTCATATAATAGTTATATGATCGTTTATTAGTTAATTGTTTTAAATGGAAGAAGCAATTATTTTGTAAAAAAAATAAAAGATGCAATTAGGGATAGTTATGGGCTGGTTCATTCGAATTTAACTTAAAATAAATAATTTTTTTCATTTACAACTGACACGTTATAAGATTAGAGTTTCACTCTATTTGAAATTCGACCCAAATTTTTATGTTAAAAGTTGCATCGGATTCAATCAGACTCAATTAAAGATATATATATATATATATATATATATATATATATATATATATATATATAATAATTTTAATTCATTTTTATTAGATCAAATAATAATCTAATTAAAAAAATAAAACATCACTACAGTAAAATGGGTTTTTAGCGGCATTTTTGGCGGCGTTTTTTAAACAAACGCCGGTAAATACTTGTACTTTAGTGGCGTTTTTATATAAACGCCGCTAAATACTGTAATTTAGTGCATTTTTATATAAATGCCGCTAAATAATGTACTTTAGTGGCGTTTTAAGCACAAACGCCACTAAATGCCCGTACTTTAGTGGCGTTTCTATATAAATGCCGCTAAATACTGTTCTTTAGTGGCGTTTTAAGCACAAGCGCCGCTAAATTCTTGTACTTTAGTGGCGTCTCTATATAAATACTGCTAAATACTGTTCTTTAGTGGGATTTTAAGAACAAGCGCCGCAAAATTCTTGTACTTTAGTGGCGTTTTTGTATAAACGCCGCTAAATACTATACTTTAGTGGCGTTTTAAGTACAAACGCCGCAAAAGATCCGTAGTTTAATGGCGTTTCTGCCTCTAAATCCCCTAAAACACGCACTTGAATCCCATTAATTAAAAAAGCCCTAAAACTTTATTCTTTTTATCCTTTAGCTTTCTGTCGCTTACATCTCTCTCACTCTTATTTTTTTTATCCTTAATAGAAAATGAACCAGAGGCCAAAATCCTCCATGGCCACCCCTCCCCTCGCAACTCCGACAACCTAAGACCATTTCTAGACCTTCCAAAATCGTCTCTCTCGCAACCCCAATGCCTAAAGTCGAACCTACATCTAAGGAGAAAAAGGGAATACCTTCAATAACTTGAGGGTATCACGACTCCGACGAAGAATCAAAGGTCCTTGGCGAAGAAAAAAGTAAGGTTCTTGAGCAAGGTAAGACTTTTGGTTCATTTTTCCTTGATTTTGGTTTTCGATTGATTTAAAAAAAAACTCTCTTTTCGTTTTTTTTATGATTGATACAATTTTTGGTTCGAAACTCCCCAACACTGATGGTTACGAGATGAAACCGACGAGGCTCCACCGATGAGCGTACCTCCTCAAGTAACTTGATCCTCGTCTTTCTTCCCTTTTAAACTATCTTATTTCACATGAATGTGCGATCCATATTTTGCTTCCAGTGCTCCTATTTTTCCCATCATTCCCGTCCACTTTGGGTTCTTAAATTTTGCTTTGACTAATTGTATAGGTAGCAAGTTCTTCATCTGTGAAAGATGCGGAGGAGATTTACTTTGATTTCAGAAAGCAGTGCTTCATTTATTCTAAGGAGGAGGATACCTTTTGCAAGCTTCAATATCCTACCAAGGAAACATTTAGCTATTACCTAAAGTGTACCGGCCATGGATTTGATGCCAAAATTCTTGCTGTAATTGAAAAATGGGGATGCAATGTGTATGTTGCTATCATAATAATTTTCACACTAGCCTTTCAATTTTTTCTTTTTAATTTGACTTATCCTTGATAAATACGACTATTGAAAGTAACCTTGTTATAGTAGCTTATTGCGCTTAGCAATGGGTTAATGGTTTTGTTGTTGAATTCTTTGGAGTGTCAATATTCCTTTCCACTAATGTTTTAATTTTGTTTTTATTCTTACCTAAATTAATTTACATAGCACAAGTCTTTCCTCACTTCAATTTTCTATGATTCTTTAGACATATTAGTTGTGAACTTATGATTTCTGAACTACATTTGTAGACTATGACAATCTGGGTTATGTTCTATTTTTTATATATATTAATATGATTTTTTTATCGCTAATATTGTTACTACCACTACTATTTTAAAGCTTTTTCAGAGTTTTAGATTTATCATTCAAACTTTGGGAGTTCCAGGTGGGTGAAATTATCTGGAACTGATCTATTGCCTGGGGATGTGGTCTCCATTGGTCGCTCATCTGGTCAAAATGAAGAAGATAAGTCTGTTACAGCAGACATGCTTATACTATCTGGAAGTGCTATTGTGAATGATACCATTCTCACAGGCGAGTCTACTCTCCAATGGAAGGTGGATCTCTTCTTCTTAATTCCTTTCATGTTTTCCATTTTAATATTCAACATTGATCTCTTAGTATAAGCTATTTGATGTTTGGTTGTGTTAAATCTTTGTTGTGGAAGTTCAATTGTTGAAAGTAAACTATCTGTTGTAGAACTAACTATATTTCTCTTTAATGGTTAGTATTTCAATCTTATAAGTTTGACTTGAAAATTTTGTATTGTCTAAGGCTACTTCAGCTTTTTCCCTTAAATGTTTTCCCTATAGCTTTTGCTTTTATTTTAGATCAATTGGTTTGTATATATGTTGCACTTCATATGGGGTTGTTTTCACATTAATTCTCTCACAGAAGCTAACTAGAGAAATACATTGTTCAATATCATTTGAACAGCAACAGTTTATATGAGGCAAAACTTTTTTCCTAGGTTTCTATAGCAGGCAGGGGTATTGAGAAGAAGCTATCTTCCAAGCGTGACAATAATCATATTTTGTTTGGTGGGACTAAAATATTGCAGCACACAGCTGATAAGGTAAGTTATACCAAAATTTAGTTTTTAACATATCTCATGTTTATTCACTTCATTTATATTTCTATATTTCTAATTAGAGTCAGAGCTTCCCTCTGAGAACTCCGGATGATGGTTGCTTGGTTGTAGTTCTGCGCACTGGCTGTAGTTCTACGCGCTGGTTATGATCACTATTGTTTATAATAAACATGTTTGTCTTTCATGTACTATATGAATGTATCTTGTTTCCATGCATTTTGTGATTTTAATCATTAATTATTTTAGAAGTTTTTTTTCTTTATGAAGTTTTGGTCTAACACACTCCTCTTATATCTTATGCATTTCAGAGGAAGCGGCAATCCTGTGTAGAGGCACCATTTTGCATCGCACTTGAAACGAATGGTAGTTGTTGTTCATGTCCAGGAGGAGTTTTTCGCTTTTGTCAATGTCTATTAGCTATTGTCTTTTTTTTATTTTAATTGTTTTAATTATCTATTGTTTTGCTATTAGCTTCTTGCCAACCATACTCTATTCATAGTTCTGAATTTTAGGTGTTATTCTTGAAATGCAATAGAACTATCACAAGCATTTCTATGCCAAATCACAAGCGAAACTGATATATTTTGTTTCATTAATTTTTGAGAAATTGTATTTACAATTCACAAGTAAAGTGTATTTAGGAAGGACCAAAGCTAGTCCTTATCTTTGCTTGTGAAAGTTAAAAAAAAAAACCTACACTGCGAGTATATAGAAAATGAATTCATTCTTAATATGGTTTAGTTATTTCGAACGAAATCCATCTGCTGGAGTTTAAGAACTCTGTAAGATAAATTTGAACACTTATATTGACGTATGTTTGAAACATCATTCTATCCATTAAGTTATGACTTTGAACCTTATCATTTGAAAAACTGTGGCTAATGTGTCAACAGAGGTGTATGGCACAAATGCTTCTGCTTATTGGTCCTGGAGTTCTTATTTCGACCTTCTGTCTTGGATCTGGTTTGAAGGTATCCCACCTTTCGTGCTTAGAAATTTGATATTATAATTGTGTAATTACAATATTATATTCTCCTTACAGCTTACTTTTCCATATGAGTGGAACTGGAAAACATCATTGTTGCTTGGGTGACTTCTTAGTGCCACTGATCATGTTGCTGTTGTGGCATTGTTGAAGGATCTTGGTGCTAGCAAAAAGCTGAGCACCATAATTCAAGGAGAATCCTTGATGAATGATGGGTATTCAATTTATGGATTTATCCTTTGCTCTTTTAATTATGCTGTATAAAACACTCCATATATTACTCGATATCTCGGATTATCTGAAGTTAACATGTTATGTCATTTCATGATTTCTTTTACACATTTTATGATAAAGATGTTGTTAACTTATGTGTTCAGGACAACAATTATGGTATATCAGTTATTTTATAGAATGGTACTTGGATAGAGCTTTAGTTGGGATGCCATTATTGAATTTCTGGTCAAAGTCTCACTTAGAGCGTAAGTATCATTCATTTTCAACAACTGTGACGGGGGTAAATATGTGTAACAAATAAATAATAAAAGGGAACTTTATTACAGGCAAGTCCTCTTTGAGAAAGTAGACCTTGCATGCCTTCAAGCTTGAAACTAATCAACCACTCATTCTGTAACAACTATTTTTAAAAATTATATCTGATTATAAGGCTCTTCTCGGTTTCAATGTGGGCAGCGGTGGGAGTAGTCCTGAATATTGCAATTGATCATCCTTTTGTTATGCTTTCCATTAAGAAATGTCCAATAACTTTGAAAATGGTTGCAGACAAAGAAAAATGGGAGGAGTTGCAGAAGTTGAATCTCCAAGAAAATTTGGAATGGCTTTTAGGTCAGGAATCCAGCCAAATGGCATTTGTAGCTTATATTATATGCAGACTAATTTATTTTTCTTTCCATATGTGGACTTGAACTCAATATTTTCGAAGTAATGAACATCAAAGCTACATTACATTTAATTTTAATGTTTATAAATTTTAATTTATTTTGTTGTTAAAATTTATGGTTGTTATTTATATAAAGTTACATGATATTAAATTTAGATGATGTATAAAAAAATGAAATATGCAAAATATCAATTAATCTTAGCTAAAGAATGGTAATTAGCGGCGTTTGTATCCAAAAACGCCGCTATAGATCTGACCTTTTGCGGCGTATATGTCCAAAAACGTCGCTATAGATCTGACCTTTTGCGGCATTTGTATAAAAACACCGCTATTAATCTAACCTTTTGCGGCGTTTGTTCCAAAAACACCGCTAAATATCTAACCTTTTGCAGTGTTTGTTCCATAAACGCCGCTATAGATCTCGACCTTTTGCGGCGTTTTTGGTTCTCAAACGCCGCTAACTTTAGCGACGCTGTTTTCAGCAGCGCTTCTTGCGATGTTTTTCCAATCGCCGCAAGCGCTTTTAGTGGCGCTTAAAAATGCCACTATAGGACTAAAAAATGCCGCTAAAACTCTATTTTGTTGTAGTGCATAAAAGATATTATGATAATCATCACTAGACATATAAGGGTTCACTATAATATTTTAAATCACACAATTTACATTTTGGTTCTATTTAGGTCACCCGTCTTTACAATTTTAGTATTGATATTGACGTGTCATTATAAGATAATGACATAGCATGATTGAAAATAATTAAAATAATATCATGTTAAAATTATTATTAATTTTTTAATAGTGAATGATCAAAATAGAACCAAAATGTAAGGTTAGCTATGATTTTCAAAAAATAATTGTTGAGTGACCAAAACATAAATTTAATTACATATCATGATTGAAAAATAATTAAAATAATCTCATCATAATTTAATGTCATATCATTATTAAAAATAATTAAAAAATTATCACGTTAACATCACTATTATTTTTTAATGGTGATTGATCAAAATAAAACAAAAATGCAAGGTTAGCTATGATTTTGAAAAAATAATAGTTGAGTGACCAAAACATAAATTAAGTAATAGGCGGGTGACCAAATAGTTAGTTTACCTTAAATAAAAAACATGTATGAATTATGTTAAGAAAATTATATTGATCCATTTATTTTAGATTTAATCCATATATATAATTGTATTATATTTTTAAATTAAAAAATATATAAATTGTTTTAGATAAAAATTTTGTAATATTTATATTGGCTCGGTCTATAAATTTTTTCTGGATTCGTCATTAAACTATTATATTTAATCATTTTTTCAGTTACAAAAATATTTTTCGACCAATAAGATGTTGATGAGTCATATAAAATTATGTATTTATTTTGACAAAAAAAATAGTTTAAGGGCCTAAAGCAAAAAAAATGGTTTAGGGACTTGTTTTGATCAAAATATAGTTTAGGCACTTAAAATGGTTGCATATAATAGTTTAAGGAGTTAATTTGATTAAAAAATAGTTTAGGTACTTAAACAAAAAAATGGCATAGTCTGAGTAATTTTTTTTAGTTTAAGCCTTAATAAAACAAATGAATCACAACGAAAACCCCGACGATTTGAGTGATCTCCCAACTTGCTAGTTGTGTCACATCTCATCGTTTTCAGGTTGTCCGAGAATCAAGGAAAGCAAAATCAATGTTGGGAGTTAGGACAAGCACTAGATGAATGGTGGTGGTTAAGGGAACCGGTATAAAACTTGAGCCTCAATCTAGACCCAAGTCATTCTAGTGCACAAAACAACATCATTTTTAAGCCTTAAGAGATAAACCCAAGTCATTCTAGTGCAATCATCAACAATAGTCAAGAAAAACCTATGACCACTATGAGTAGATATCCTATAAGGACCCCATAAATCTATATGAATTAATTCAAAAGGTTTTGATGACCTAGTAGTACTGAGAGGAAATGGTAATCTGGTATGTTTTGCTAAAGGACACACAATGCAAGTATGAATAGACTTTATATCAAATTTATCAGAAACATAAGAGGACAATTTTTTCAAAGCAGAAGCAAATGCATGCCCAAATCTAGCATGCCAATTGAAATCAGAAACAGTTGGTACATGATGAACACAAGAATTAACCCCAGAACCAAACAAAGAATTAGAAATCAAACCAGTAGCTCCTTTAGTAGACTCAAAAATATAAAGGCCATTAAGCTTTCTACCAATCCCCTTGATCATGCCACTATAAAGATCCTGCAAGATACAAATGTCAGGATGAAAGGAAAAAATACAGGCATGATCTTTGACAAGCTGAGAAACAGAAAGTAAGTTGTGAGCAAAACTGGGAACAAACAAAATATTAGACAAAATCATATCAGATGCTAACCTATGAGACCCTATATGAGACACAAGTTCAGTTTGACCATTAGGAAGATGAACATAACGATGGGCAGAACATAAAATTGGAAATTGCAAACCCTTAAAATCAGACAAAATATGGTCAGTAGCACCAGTATCAACTATCCAACGAACGCAAGCATTACTGGAAGCAGGTAAATTACAGGCAACAGTACCTGCAAGATTCACACTAGAATCTACGGCGGAGCTTTTGTTCAATAGATGCAAAATCTTATTGTATTGCTCAGAAGTAAAGGTGGGAACAGCTAATACAGGAGAGGAAACCGTCGAAGCATTCTCTGATACCATGTTGAAAATTAGAAAAAACTGAGATTGAATAATTCTGCTTGTTCATTAGAATGAGTATAATACAAGTATATATACAGTTTTAATCTAACTAACTAACTGACAATTAGTTACAATTAAAACAGAAAATAACAAATTTAACTTCTAACAGTTGGTGATTTCCCACTTTTCATCAGAAAGGTCGTTTGCGATCACTGCATTTGGGAAACAAAAGTTGAAAGACTTCTGCCTCGATGGATTGGTGCCACGTAGTTAATTAACATGCTTTTTAAATGTTTCTTCAATCATCCAAAGACCTGAACAAAACTGATATATGTTTGTTATTAGAGTGGCAATGGGCGACGGTAAATTCTGAGGCTTCCTGCATGCGCTATTCACATTGTAATTTGTTGTTGCAAGTGGGGACAAATTGTGTCCAAAGTCATCTCAATGTTTAGAACCTTTTAGTAAAAAACAGCAGCAATTGATTGTTTTGGGTTTTCCCTAGATTCCGGGTCTAGCGAGACCAAATGTAGGTGTAGTTGTAGTAGCTTTTAATTGTATCTTTTGCATATGTTATGTTGAAACTTGAGGCCACCGGGCAACAATGAACTTAGCTTCACAAGCCCAATTTCTTTCAACAAAGACCCAGAGCCGAATCAATACTTTTATCGATCTCTACAAGGCCTTAGGATCATGGGTTTCGCTTTACAATCCGGTGTGAATATTGGCTAAGTGGACACTTTCATTCCCTCTATTATTTGCAACTTCAATTCCTTTTCTTAACTATACATTTATTATTTTTAAAATTATTTTCTCGAGTTTATATTTTATTTAAATAAATTTTGACTCTAATTATTTTATAGTTTTTCCCTTGACTCTTTTACACTCTCATCAATACTTTATTCTCAAAATTACTTCTTTAAAAAATAATGTTATAATATGTTTTATAATTTTAGATGATATTTGATTTATTAAATAACATTACAATATAAAATGGGATATGAACAAATATTTATGTATATCTTATATGATTAGAGAAAGTCGAAAAATGAGAATGAGTTTGTAATATAATAATTAAATTTAAATAGAAAATCAATAATTAAACTTGTCTCAAAAAATTATATAAAATTTAAGTTATAACACATTACTCGTCAATTTAACTGACTCAAAATTTATTGACTCGATTTAATCTAATACTCATACTACACATGATGATAATTATGTAACCTCACTTGAGACAACTATGTCATGCAAAGACTAATTACACTACTAATAAAATGCTTAAAAGGTAAACACACTAATGCCCTATGCATCCCGACCTATACATCATCTCAATCATGTCCATCACATGCAATAGCCCAGTAGGTCCACTTCAGCCCCATTGTTGAACCTACTCTAATGCTATGTTTAATAGATACTAGTAGTAAAAGAAAAGGAAAGTGAAAAGGAAAGAACGGAGAAAAGGAGAGTTTTCAAAAGAAACGAAATAACGAATCTCTCTCTCATTTGAATATTTAAAATGTTTGATAGAATGAAAAGGAACTCAATGGCAGCCTTTATATCGTGGTTAGAGAGCGAAAATAAAACCATGAGTTTATAATAAAATATTATAGTATTAAAAAATATATTTGTAATACTACAGCAAAAAATACTAACAATAAATATTTTACAATCCTAGACGAAAGAGTTTCGAAAGTACATATTTTCTATGGTCTTCAAACTACTAGTATGCTGTATGAAATAACAAAGAAATGCGTCGACAAAGGCTACCACCCTATCTATATTTCCCACCCATTGCACTTCAAAAAAACTTCACCAAAGTTGTACGTAATGTCTCCTCCG